ACTTTTTTCCTCATTTGTTCCTGAATTTCTTTGGATCTCGGCATGATGTCTGTAGCTTTTGAGGATCTTTTGGTCTACTTCACTTTGTCAGGTAGGTCCTATTTAAGTGATTTCTAGATTGGGAACAGGTGTGCAGTAATCAGGCCTGGGTGTGGCTACAGAAATTGAACTCAGGTGTGATCAACCACAGTTATGTTTTAACAGGAGCTGGGGGGCAAACACTTTTTCACACAGGGCCATGTAGCTTTGGATTTTTTTCTTCCTCATTAATAAAACCCTTCATTTAAAAACTGCATTTTGTGTTTACTTGTGTTATCTTTGACTAATGTTTAAATTTGTGTGATGATCTGAAACATTTAAGTGTGAAAAACATGCAAAAAAGTAAGAAATCAGGAATGACGATTCGATTTTTGTCGATTTTTTCAGAAAAAAAGTCATAGTATAGTATGTCTGTTTTTTTTCAGAAAAAAAAAATAGTCACAGTATAATATGTCGATTTTTTTCCAGAAAAAACACAGCATAGCATGTTATTTTTTTTATTTTTTTCGGAAAAACACATCACAGTATAGTATGTTGACTTTTTACGAAAAAAGTCATAGTGTATATATTATGACGATTTCTTTTGAAAAACACGTCACAGCATAGTATGTTAATTTTTTCAGGAAAAAAAGTCATAGTATAGTATGTCGATTTTTTCAGAAAAAAGTCATAGTACAATATGTCGATTTTTTCACACAAAAAAGTCATAGTATAGTATGTCGATTTTTTTCACAAAAAAAGTCATAGTTTAGTGTGTTGATTTTATTCCACAAAAAAAGTCATAGTATAGTATGTCAATTTTTTCAGACAAAAAGTCATAGGATAGTCTGTCAATTTGTTCACAAAAAATGTCATAGTATAGTATGTCACTTTTTTCAGAAAAAAAGTCATAGTATAGTATGTCAATTTTTTTTCCAGAAAAAAAGTCATAGTATAGTATGTCGATTTTTTTTTTCCAGAAAAAAAAAGTCATAGTATAGTATGTCGATTTTTTTCAGAAAAAAAGTCATAGTATAGTATGTCGATTTTATTTTTCAGAAAAAAAAGTCATAGTATAGTGTGTCGATTTTTTCACACAAAAAAGTCATAGTATAGTCTGTCGATTTTTTTCAGAAAAAAAAAGTCATAGTATAGTATGTCACTTTTTTTCAGAAAAAAGTCATAGTATAGTATGTCGATTTTTTTTCCCAGAAAAAAAGTCATAGTATAGTATGTTGATGTTTTTCAGAAAAAAAGTCATAGTATAGTATGTCGATTTTTTTCAGAAAAAAAAGTCATAGTGTGTCAATTTTTTCACACAAAAAAGTCATAGTATAGTATGTCGATTTTTTTCACACAAAAAAGTCATAGTATAGTATGTCAATTTTTTTCAGAAAAAAAGTCATAGTATAGTATGTCGATTTTTTTCACACAAAAAAGTCATAGTATAGTATGTCAATTTTTTTCAGAAAAAAGTCATAGTATAGTATGTCGATTTTTATTTTTCCAGAAAAAAAAGTCATAGTATAGTGTGTCGATTTTTTCACACAAAAAAGTCATAGTATAGTCTGTCGATTTTTTTCAGAAAAAAAGTCATAGTATAGTATCTTGATTTTTTCCAGAAAAAAAGTCATAGTATAGTATGTCGATTTTTTCCAGAAAAAAAGTCATAGTATAGTATGTCGATTTTTTCAGAAAAAAAGTCATAGTATAGTATGTCAATTTTTTCCAGAAAAAAAGTCATAGTATAGTATGTCGATTTTTTTCCAGAAAAAATGTCATAGTATAGTATGTCGATTTTTTTCAGAAGAAAAGTCATAGTATAGTATGTCGATTTTTTTCTGAAAAAAAGTGATAGTATAGTATGTCGATTTTTTTTCCAGAAAAAAAGTCATAGTATAGTATGTCGATTTTTTTCTGAAAAAAAAGTGATAGTATAGTATGTCGATTTTTTTTCCAGAAAAAAAGTGATAGTATAGTATGTCGATTTTTTTCAGAAAAAAAGTCATAGTATAGTGTTTCGATTTTTTCACACAAAAAAGTCATAGTATAGTATGTCGATTTTTTTTTCACACAAAAAAGTCATAGTATAGTATGTCAATTTTTTTCAGAAAAAAAGTCATAGTATAGTATGTCATTTTTTTCAGAAAAAAAGTCATAGTATAGTGTGCCGATTTTTTCACACAAAAAAGTCATAGTATAGTATGTCGATCTTTTTCAGAAAAAAAAGTCATAGTATAGTGTGCCGATTTTTTCACACAAAAAAGTCATAGTATATAGTATGTCGATTTTTTTCACACAAAAAAGTCATAGTATAGTATGTCAATTTTTTTCAGAAAAAAAGTCATAGTATAGTATGTCGATTTTTTTCACAAAAAATATCATAGTATGGTATGTTAATTTTTTCACAAAAAATGTCATAGTATAGTATGTTGAGTTTTTTTCACAAAAAATGTCATAGGCAATTTTTTCAGAAAAAAAGTCATAGTATAGTATGTTGAGTTTTTTTTCACAAAAAATGTCATAGTATAGTATGTCTTCATTTTTTTCAGAAAAAAAGTCATAGTATAGTATGTCATTTTTTTCAGAAAAAAAGACATAGTATAGTATGTTGAGTTTTTTTT